GTCAGGCAATCCTACGGACAGCCATAACCACCGGCCACCACGGACACCCGCCGCTGGGCGGAGACGGAGACTCAAACAGGAAATCGGCGACCACCACCGGAGCTAGGGGAAAGAGGCTGAGAGACGAAAACCGCCGCCTAATTCCCGCCGGGCTTCGGGAGTGGCAGAGAAGATGGCTCCACCTGCCGCAGCGACTCGACCAAGCCAGGGAAGAAGGGCGACAGTGGCTATTTCCGGCTAGGAGGGGCAGCTAGATTTGGCTAGGGTTTTCTGAACTGGACCTACCCTCTCGAAAGCACATCTCTTTTTTTTTTGAGTGGATTATTCACGCTGGGTTTATATGCAATATTTCTAGGCTAAATTACACACAGACGAGATTTTTTGAAGAGAGGCTGTAAACAAGTAGAGCCAAACTCGAGCTTAGGGTATTCGTGCTCGTGCTCGAGCTCGAGCTCTCAACGAGCCGAGCCGACCTCGGCTTGTTAAATAAACGAGCCTAAAATCGAGCTCGAGCTCGGCTCGTTAAGGCCTCGAGCTCGAGCCTTAACGAGTTGATCTCGAGCTTTAACGAGCCGAACTATAAAAAATTATATCAAAAATCTATTTTCGAGTCTTAACGAGCCTTATCGAGCCGAGCTCGTTAGCCAATCGAGCTTTATATGAGCTCGAGCTCGGCTGGTTAAGGCCTCGAATTTGAGCCTTAACGAGCCGAGCCGTGCCAGACTCGTTTAATTTAACAATACTGAAAGATCTGCAACCCTACAAGAAATTACATTTATTTTTTATATCTATTCTTTACATGAAGTTTTATTTTAATTATACGAGATTCCTCAACTTATGGAATTCTCCATGATTGTCGCTCAAACAAATCATTCCATAACATAACAACCCAATATTATTAAATAAAACAAAACGTTATTGAATACGCGCACACACAGACACACACACACACACATATATACACACATATATATATATATATATAAATACAAGGCTTTGATATACCGACATAATAAAAAAAAAATCTCAAAGAAAGCCTATAACTGTACAACTTCTGTTAAAATTTATTGGATGATTGAAGGAAATGGTTTTGATTAAATCGATAATTTTTCTTTCAACATCATAAATGATTTATAAATATTTTTTTTGTTTTTGGAGAACTTTATGGATTAGTGATTTTATGCAGGATATTAAACCTCCTCGTTAAATGTTTTCACTCATCATAATTGTACGAATGCAACATAACCCACTTGAGATGTATGTATGTGGAAGATGCAATACTAGATGTATATAACGTTGTGAATTTCATAAGATTTGAGATGTAGGCTGCAGAACGATGGCAAAAACAACAAAAATATATTGAAGATATCTTATACTCTTGTTAATAAAAAGGAGTTACTTCACTCCTTTACTTGACAAGTGTCTTAATACTATTAAAAAAATGTTACACTCTTGTTTCCTTAATTTGACGCGTGGAACCTCTATTTGAAGAGGATATCTGATACTCGACATTTTTTCTAACGATGGTGTTTTTATAGAATTTGAACCGGTGTCGTTTCATTTCGTGTTATGCTTCGGGATCTCAATTTCAGTTTCTTCCTGTGCACGACATTTTTACAGATGCTTCCATTCAGATTGCCGTTCTCATCCATCACTTTGGGTGCATCTTCTGACGTTGTTTTTGGCAAATTAGTCCGGTTGTGCTTCGCGCAGCATTTACTGTAACACCCTGTTAATTTCAACATTCGTGAAGAGTGATTTACATATTCTTTTGTTCCAAATTTCATCATATTAACCTAAAAGATCTCACACATTTCTCTAGGGTTTACTCTTTCTAATTTTTTGTTTCTTTATTCTGCAGCTCATAAGGAAATTTCGTGTGCTGTGACACAATAAGTGTTAATGGAGATGCAAATTCAGGAAAGTTAAAGGTTTTTCCTCACAATTTTTATTCACGGTTTAATTTTTGTTGGATCTTCGTTGTGGAGGTATGCTTAGTTTTTGGGTTGGTTAGGACTATTTTTGATTTTGGATGTTTCTACAGTTTAAGCACCTATTCTTATTGTCTTGAAATTTTTGTTATTCTCTTATATTTTATAATCTTATATAATATGAATTCACATATATGGTGAAGAATTATATATATAAAAAAAAAATCTGTGTTGTAGTGTTTGGTCAAATATAAATGTTCAACAATTCTCGGTGCTTTCAAGTGGTATTAGATTAAAATATTGGCCAATAAGATCAGCTTAATGTCTTTCAAATATTTTCTTGCAGCTTTAGCCTTCATTTTTCTTTCTTGGGTATGGTGTATGGAAGTGTTGGTTCATCTTGGACCGTTGGATTCTTGCCCTCAGCATCTTGATTTGATGTTTGCTTTACTAATTATCTCATATGTATGATTATTAATAATATAATATACCTCAAGTGGTGTATATCTAGCAGATTCTATATCAACTTTAACTTTTTCATTGTACAAGCTAGACAAGTTTCCTCTGTTGTCAAGAAGTCGTACATTGCTATCTGTTCTTCCCGTTTTTCTTACTAAATCAGAAGAAATCTACTGTAAATAACAATAACAGCTGCCTGTTAAATGTATATTTGCAGTTAGTTATTGGGTTTTCAATACATGTTTCATTTATTTGTTCAGTTTGTAAAGCACAAAGTAGTGTATTTTGTTTTTTTACAGAAGGATGAAATCTCTGCAGTTTATACCTATATGAAAATATAAAGTTATTTTTTCTGGTTATAGATTGCTATGTATATACAGAAAGGAACTGAAAATATAAAAGTATTTATTTAGGTTGTAGATCTTGTGTTTTTGTTTGTGTGCAGATGAATGCTATTTAATTTTTACAAGGTTTTGAGTTCACATACTTTGTCTAACTCTAATTCTTTGTTTTTTGTAATTACTGTTTTGAAGGTATTTCTCTATTTAGTTGCTGTAAACTCTTGCTTTGGTTCTGGTCAAGTTGATGCTTTGGAGTTTCTTTAGCTATAAGGTAATAAAATACTTTTGCCATTTTGTTATGCTTAAATAATGTATATAGTTTCTATTTTTATGCATAAAAACGCATATGTGTGCACACTGAACTCGGGTGAATTGATAGTTACTTACTTCAGAAATTGGTTGCCACTATATGACTTTCAAATATTTGGGTATAACAATATTCTACCCCTTATATATATAAATAATGTAGCCAACATGAAAGTGTTGAATGCAATGGGATGCATGCTGCTGTACGATTCTGATGCCAAAAGGCTAATCTTTTTGAATTGAACTCAATTGTATGAGACAGATTGACAAGTTTTTAAACTTATACAGACCAACATAGTTACTTTAATACTTATAATATACAAGAAGGAATTGATGTAGTGTATTTTTTTACACGTTGCGTACATTGTGATAAATCAATTCGACACTCCATGGAACTATGATTTTATAACTAAATGGTATTACACTGATTATGAATATTCTCAAAATATACTTTTTTGTTAGTTTTTTCCTAGCTTGCATGCATTTATGCAAATTTTTTTTATGTATGTAATATAATAATATGATTTTTACTAATGCTTATTCCACTTCAAAATAAATTTTTGGAGTTGTCTCAGATTTAAAAGACTGCACATACTTACTTTGTATGGTATTTCAAGTCACTAATTGCTAATTCAATAGAATGGTCTGTATATAAAGGTCATTTAACCAACTTCGTATTATTCAGAGTGCGCCATTATCTTGGTGTTACTCAGACAACATTTCTTTTCATTGTCTATAGGTTTATGTAAAAGAATATTACTGCATTAATATATTTTCAGAACTATTATATGCATGGATAATTTTTGTTGAAGAATATTGACTCTTTTATAGGTTAAAGTTATACTCTTTGAGTTTGGGACTGTTGTTTGAGGAAGTTTAGATTCTAGAAGGCACAATAAAAGGAAAGATTCCTTTAGTTACTGCTATCAGGTCAGTATATTGTTCCTCACAACTACTTTGCTTATTGTATTTATCTAAGTCATCATCAAATCTTATGTGTGTTTGATAAACTTTTGGCTGTTATGTTTAATAAGTTCATTCATGCTGAATATGTGTAGTCAAATATTATAACAGCAGTGTTCATTCATCTTTACCTTTGTGTAACATTTCTTCTTCTTTAAATAATTCAAACTATCATACCTATATAATTTCCAAATACTTCTATGTCATAACAATTTATTGAAGTAGGTTGTTGCATCTTGACATTGTTTGCCTTAGGTATTAAGAACCTAATAAGTGTACTGCTTGCATAAAAAATTAGAATTGTAGACGATCTAGATTAGGCTATAGTGCCTTTGCATTAGAAAAAAATTACTAATAGCTCTTCCGTATTTATATAAACTCTTTTGTTTTCTGCTAATATTTTGGATTTATTACCTTATATTAATTTGTGTAATAGTCTGTTCTTTATAGTTTCTAAGATTGAACATACAGTGTACTGAACATAAGGGAATAGCAATATCGAACCTATGGATTCTAGGAAAAGATATCAACAAATAGCAATTGAAAAATGGAAAAACAAAAAAAACGTACATCAGTAACAATTGAACGTAGATTTTCATCTCAGCAAAATGATCAGCTTACTGTCAACAACAATTCATTGAATATGAACAAAGAACTGCATATTGATAAATTAAGCAAACCTACTAGACAGGAAAAACAACATGTAATGAAGTCTTCTTCAAACCATAACCAAGGAATCTATGATTTGCGCATACACAGTGGAACATTGCTACACTTTTCGAATTATTCTGAACCTTCCTTACCGTCTCCTACCGAAACATATAGGGCAAACGCTACTTAAAAATGGAGAGCTAAGAGAAATAAACATTCATTTACTCATAAACATCTATCTCTAATTAAAGATGCCGATTCTAATCGTAATCACAGTGAACCCCTTCCAACATATAAAAGTATTCACCTGGAAAAGCACACTTCATATGCAAACAAAAGTAATTCATATATGTTGCAAACTTCAATTCAAAGCGGCACTAATTTACCCAATCTGCATATAGTCAATGAAAATACAACATCTTATTCACAACCTACAGGTAATAAATAGTTCCCATTCAAATTTTCAAGTTTCTCAAAAAAAATTATTTGAATATTACTTTAATTCATTGATTTACGGTCTAATGATAACACACCTATACAACAGGTGACCCAAGTAATAAAACATCACAATCTACAGGTACAGTTCATTTTCATAATCATGTTCAAATTACTTAAAAAAATTACAGAGTTTGCATGCTCAAGAAAAACTAAATATATTTCCATTTACATTTGCATTGGAATTATAGGTAAATATAAAAAAGTGTGCCAAGGGATTTTGGATGACATTGCAGGTGAGCCTTTTGTATAAACTAAAAGAAAAAAAAAAGTCCTTATTGTACTGCCCTCAAATTTCAATATGAAATAAGTAAATTTTGTTGTTCAGATGGCAATATAAGACTGGCAAGTAACTCAACACTAGATATTCTTAAAGAACTTTTATTTTCAGTGACAGAGGAGGCTAAATTATTTAGAGATTGTATAAGACCAATTAATAATCAATATGCATTTACATCTTTGGGAGTGAAGTGCGATAAAAGTTTAACACAACGCAATAAAGGAATTTATACTTTCAAGATACAAGGTCAAATGTATCATTTCTTGAATGATTTAGAAGCATCAAAAAATTTACGATTATATTTTCACGATATCGAGCATGAAGTTGCTAACCGATTTAATGCCTGACCTAGAATATCTGAGTCTATAATTGAAAAGATTATGTATGTTCTTAAAGACAATCCATATGCCAAATTTTTCAGAACCCTTAATAAGATAACAAATTTTGACGATTATAAAATCATTTTGAAGACTCTTCCTGAAGTTAATCAAAGAGTTTACAACAAACCACAAACTTCTCAAGTAGCTGCATTATGGCTTGATACTGAAGAAAATCAAGAACCATCTGAAAGAAATATAAGAATATATAACCATAGTGGCATTCCACATAAAATACATTACTATTTTGGTTGCTATGATCCCCTTCAATATCCTTTACTTTTCCCTTTCGTTGAGCTTGGGTGGCATCAAGGAATAAAAAAATTAGGAGCCACTGTTAAAAAAAAAAAACATCGGGAAATTCTGCATCGCTTCCTCTAATTTCACCTTCAGCTATGGAATCTGCTGAAGAGTTAATTGAAGCAGAAAATGGTAAGTTCATAAACAAGTAACTACAACTTCAATTGTTAATGTATAAATAGATATAGAGGTGGTTACTTAGATATGATAATTCTAACATATATAATATCTTCTGCTTTCAGTGAATCTTAACACACACGGGAGTCGAAATTTTGTTTCGATGAGGGATTACTATGCCTACAAATTACAAATAAGAGATAATGATGGGTCTTGTTTGCTAAATTTTGGAAGATTGTTTCGGCAATATATAGTAGATATATATGTCAAAATACACAAAGATTAGACTTTTTCAAGAATCAACAAACAGAAATTAGACAAGAATTTTTGCAAGGTATTCAGGACAGTCTAAATGCAAGAGAAACAAACGCATCAAAAATTGGACAAAGAGTTTTTTTGCCAGCCGGTTTTATAGGTGGGCCAACAAATATGAAAAAAAGATACTTAGATGCAATGACATTGGTTCAAAAAATTGGAAAACCAGACATCTTTTTAACTATGACATGTAATCCTAATTGGCCTGAAATCAAAGAAATCTTAAAACAAAACGAAGAAACTAAAAATCGGCCAAATTTAGTAGCTAGAGTTTTTCGTGCCAAACTTGAAGAATTAAAAAAAGATATTCTAAAAAAACACATCTTTGGAGAAGTCGTAGCTTATACATATGTAATAGAATTCCAAAAAAGAGGTCTACCACATGCTCATATGTTATTCATACTAGCAAACAAGGACAAAATGTATAGACCAGAAGAATTCGATAAAATAGTTAGCGCTGAAATACCAAATAAACGTTCTACTCCACATTTATACAATATGGTCAAAACACATATGATGCATGGACCTTGTGGAGAGTTAAATGAAAATAATTCTTGCATGAACAAAAAAAATAAATGCAGGTTTAACTATCCAAAACAATTTTCTGACCGAACTCTGCAGGTAAGCAATACATATCCAAAGTATCAGCGTTCAAATAATAATGTTAAAGTCAAAGTTCGAGGCCATATGTTAGATAATAGATGGGTAGTTCCATATAACCCATATTTACTTGCAAAGTTTAATTGTCATATTAACGTAGAGATTTGTTCCAGCATACGAGCTGTCAAATACATTTATAAATATATTTGTAAAGGCCACGACAAAATTGTATTTCATATAGATACATCTAATCAAAATATACAAGTAGATGAAATAGAACAATATAGAACTGCACGTTGGGTTTCTCCACCAGAAGCTGCATGGAGAATTTTTCGATTTCCAATTAGTGAAATAAAGTCTGCAGTCATTAATTTACCAGTACATTGAGAAAACTATCAAACAATCAACTATATAAAAAAAAAAGATAGATTAGACAGAATAATTAACAACCCAAAAAATCATAGAACTATGCTTACAGAATTTTTTTATATGAATAGAACAGATTCATATGCACAGAAACTAAATTTACCATACATCAAATTTCCTGAATACTTTGTTTGGCTAACTGAAGAAAAAAAATGAAAAAAAAGAAGTGAAAGAGATTCAATAGGCCGAATAGTAACTGTGCATCCTAATGAAGGTGATAGGTATTATCTTAAACTTCTTCTGCTTCATGTTAAATGCCCAAAATCCTTCGAAGATATCAGAACTTTTAATGGAAAAATTGCTGAGTCGAATCATGAAGCTGCTCTTTTAAGAGCTTATTACAAGATGATAACACACGAGAACAATGTCTAAAAGAAGCTGTAGTTTTTAAAATGCCATATGAAATGAGAAGACTATTTGCTAACTTACTTGTTTATTCATGTCCTAACAATCCTAGAGATTTATTTTATAAATTCGAAGAAGCCATGTCTGAAGATTTTTTGAGGCACTCAAACTTAAGTGGAATAGACATTTAAAAAAAAGTTTTCCAACAAATTAATGATTTTTTGGAATCAATGGGAAGAAGTATTCATTCATTTAACATCTTGCCAGATAATTTAACCTTACATATTGAAGAAGATAATAGAAAAATAATCGCTGAAAGAAACATTATCGTTTGTGAAGAAGATTTAAATGCTATATCATTACTTAATAAGGACCAAAAACAAGCTTTTATGACCATACTGGAGCGTGTGTATAGTGAAAAACCAGGAGCCTTTTTTATTGACGGCCCAGGTGGTACGGGAAAAACTTTTCTCTACAGAGCCTTATTAGCCGATATTAGATCTAAAGGTTATATAGCCTTAGCAACAGCTACTTCAGATATTGCCGCGTCGATACTACCAGGTGGTAGAACAGCTTACTCACGCTTTAAAATACCAATAGATATATCAAAGGGAAATTCATGCAAAATTAGCAAACAGAGTAATTTGGCAAACTTAATACGTGAAAGCAAACTAATTGTGTGGGATGAAGCACCAATGACTAAAAAAACATCAATAGAAGCACTTGATCGTATGCTCAGAGATTTAACAGACTCACCTCAAATTTTTGGTGGTAAAGTTATTGTTTTTGGAGGCGATTTTTGTAATACCCCATTTGAATTACAGAATTTTGAGGATTAATTATTATTATTATTATTATTATTATTATTATATAGTTGTTATTATTATTATTTGTTTAATGCTATAAATTACTAATTGTCGTATGTGATTTATGTGTCAAATTTCTTAACGGTCTAAATATTGGATTAATTGCCTAATTGCCTAAATGTTACTATTTAAATAAAAATGTGTAATTATATTTTTATTAATATTATAATTATTATTATTTTAAAAATTAAATTATGTGTATTATACGTATTTATAATTGTCGGGTTGTTTAATTGTGTGATTTAATTAATCGAGCCCGTGAAACTGTATTATTTCAACGTAGTCGGGCCCGAGAGCTTATACGTTTTATTTAACCGAAACCCGCGAGCCCGATAACCGCCGGCCCAACCCGTTAACCCGGCCCAAACCGTGAGAGTGTGAGTTTCTTTTTTATCAAGACTCTGAACCTAATTATGTGTTATATATATATATATATATATAATATGTTTATTTTGTGGTTTTGTTGTTTTTTGATGGGTTCTTGTATTGTTTTTTAGATATTTTTCATAATTATAGGTACATGAATGGTTTCCTTCTTGTGTATTTTTGGTTCCAGGATTTATTTTTTATTTTTTGGTCCATTAATTTCTCATTATCATGAGGTCATAGGTATATGAATGGTTTTCATGTTGTTTATTTGTGGTTCTAGGATTTTTTTTTTTTGTTTCCATTAATTTCTGATAATCATGAAGTTATAGGTATATGAATGGTTTTCATCTT